GTCTTCATTCATTTCACGTGGGTCCAAGAGCATAAAAATAAACTGGTCGTTAATCGCGGGTTCGGTTAACCTTGCTAGCTTCGGCTATACTAATCACTCCACATCAAAAAATTTCGAGTAGGTGTTTTATATGTTTAACTGCTGTTTGTTCGCCTGTAATTATCCGATCAATAACAGAGGGGAGTGAGTTGGAAGTGAAGCGCCATCTTTGTCGCGTAAATGTTCTGAACTTATAATGTGCAATGGAGCACAAGATGAGACAGGCCACAATGTTTAAGAGAAAAACATGCGCGAGATTCGCACTTGAAACAACAATGACATTTGGCGTAATCATTTGTTTTTGTTTGTATGCCGGACGGACAGTCAAAATGTCTTCACGTGAAACCTGTCTGTGGTGCAAAAAAAAGGTAACGGGCTGTTGTATTGTGCTGAAAAATATCATTGAAGCCGTCAATGAATCAAGTCGACTTAAGAGTTGACTAAAAAAATCTCAAGTCGTTCAAGGCCGATAGTGCTAACACACGAGCTCAGGAACATGGAGGTAAAATATTTGGGATATCTATTTTTCAACCCATTCCATGCCGTGTTGTTTGACAGAAAAGTGACACGGTATAAACAGGCAAGGAAGCTGCTGCCAGGAATCCAAAATTAATTTTCTCCCCTTTATGGCAAGTGCTCTCAAATTTTTTCAGTCCAGGGAATTCATTACACAGAAGGCATTTTTCCAAGGACACCCTCATAATCTTCCCATCAATTGAACATGACTACCGTAGGCCATAGGAATGAAAAACGTGCTCATTTTGGAGTTTTAGCAATTTTTTAAAGAAAAAAACCCATAATGTCATTTGAAAGAAATCAGATTTTTTTTTTTTCAAGCAAAAAGTTCGAACCATTCCGACAGGAGAGACATATTTTGTTGGGATAAAAAAAAAAAACAAAACAAAAAAAAAAAACAACAAAAATGATTTCATGACAATAAAGTCATGTTAATATGATATTAAGATAAAAGTTTAATGAGAGATGCAAGTCATTTTGACATGTGAATTTCAAAAATACAACATTATCTCCTAATATTACACCTTTTATTTGGAAATCATGTTTTTATTCTAAAAAAATAACGCTACAGAGTATTCTCAAAAGTGCTGGGTTTTTTTTTAATAAGGACGACTAATAACTATTGCTGAAGGGATGTCAGATTTAAGTGATGATACGTCACAATCATATCACAGTCGAGCTACGTTTTTTAATTTTTTTTTTTTTTTTTTAATTAGCTCGCCCGTCCCCATATGTAGGCATGGTATGCCCTTTTAAAATACTACCATACCGTTTATTATTTTGTTTTGTGGACCCCCAAGCTATCCAGTTCCCTTGCCCTAGTTTGAGAGCCACTGCTTTAAGGTAAGATCTATGTGCAGCACTCCATCGAACTAATGGTGCTAATAGAACTCCAATGACAAGGCATTGGTCCCCTTAATGTAATTTTTCTGAGAGTGTACCAATTAACCAACACATCCGCGGGGGTTCAACCACCTCCCTCCACCATCGTTTCGCTTCTCTGATTCTCCCGCCGACCGCATCGATGGGGTGAGAGGGATGTCTTTGGGGAAGGACGTCCTTCTCTGCGCTGCCGCACAGCAACTTTGTCTCCACAAGCTAATTAGTCCCCGACATCAAAATTAGCGAAGCGGAGCTTTGGAAGACACCCTCTTGACGGCACTTGAAATATGAAAGAAGACTGCATTGCCTCTGCTGAAATGCTTTTGTGAATACAATCCAGGATTCATGATTTCACAGGGGCCTGGAAAGGAGCTGCTATTTTGGTTTGCGACAAAGTTGAAATGGGTTTCATGTTGATGTTAATGGTGAATTTTAATGTTAACTTTTTAATGACGGGTTTATATACATTGATTAGCAGATTATTTGCGTGAAAATCAATGTGTAGAAGTTACACTGTCTCCATAGAAAGTGGCTTGGAAGGTGCTTTTGTTTGGTTAGCAACACAGCTCATATGGGCTGTGAATGATGGCGTCTACGGATTTAGATAAGAGAGGTGTTTTATTTGTCTTGAGTGGAATAAGTGCGCCAGGAAAGTAGAGCATTTCTCTCCATATAACACCACATTCTCTGCATATAAATCAGTGCATGGCTGTTGCGGCATCATTTCTGCAGAAGGAGCTTACGTCATGCAGTAGGGGTACTGGATGGTTTGGTTAGCGACAGAGGTCAAGTGGGCTCGACGGTTATGTGTGACCATGGTTGTCTATGAACTGAGATAATTACATGTAATACGTTGTATTAATTAATTAATTTGTTTATTTATTTATTGCTGTTTTTTTAGGCCTATATTGTGGGGAGTGCAGTTATTTGCCTGGAGGCACGAACCTCCCCCACCCCATCCCACCCCCCGCCACGCACACACATTTTTGTTATTATAAATTAGCATACGAGCAGAAATGCCTCCTTACCATTCCCAAAGACATTTCCGAGCCCACGCTGGCATTAAATGACATTTCACTGTGATTGGCGGTGCTAATGAGTTGACGATAAAATGTCACCGTGGCAGGATTGGAGTAGCCTGCTGAAACGTGAAGCGAAAGTTATTTCACTCTAAGTCTCATAAAATCTGCAATTAAAAACTTTTAAGAATGACTAATATTCATCCTGCAAAATCCCCTCGAGAAATGAGAAGCAAAGTTAAGCAAAAAGTTTCAGTTCTGTTCAGCAAATTTAATTTTGGCCTGGAGTGAAGCAGGAAGCAGCAGCGACTCTTTCTGTGCATTATGAAAATGATGAAACTATATTGTACACCTACGTCCAAAAATACCGTGATTTCCGGACGACAAAAGCAACTGATTCAAAGCTGCAACAGCTCGATTTAGCCATGAAAACAAATCTGTACAGACGTTGGCTGCGGTCATTATAACACGGAATAATTGCAAGGGAAGAGTCCACATTTTTCAAACAACCTTTAATGACCTTAAACATCGGTAGATCCTTTTTATTCCCCCGAACAATACTGAAGACAGGTCGATAGCACCACAGTGGCGTCCCAGAAGCTCTCTCAGTCGTTCTTGTTGTCACACCATGCAAATTCGCTGATGAGCTTCTGCACCCACTCAAATCTCATCCCATAGAACCTGGTAGAGGGAGAAAAATCAGACCCGGCACCAGTTTCAGTAACTGACACGGATTGCAATGGACATGTCTTTCATAAATGGATCCACGACAAAGTCTGAAGGAGCTATGCATGACATGTAACATGAAGTCAGCCATTTTGGTTTGAAGCAGGAAATTCCGGGCCTTCCTTGCACTTTGACGAACACCTACGAGAGAAGTCGCTCAAATGAGCCCCAATCAGAAGCAAATATCTTGGTCAGCTGAGTTTGTCGCTGTAAACGAGTCCAGGGTGCATCCCACCCAAAGTTAACTGGGATACTCTCCAGCTCACCAGCGACCCCGATGAGGAGGAGCGGTATAGCTGAAACAAATAGAACAGATGGACAGACTCCCGCGTCTCGTCCCTACAAAGTGTTGTTTGCAACTAATTCCTTGACGTGATCAAAGCCCCTGCCGACATGAACATCGTCGGAGTTCATTAATTAGCTGTCACCCCGCCTGTCCGACGACGGACGGGTGCTTGTCCCGGCCTGTCAACACCTTGCTTTCCAAACGGCAGTCAGGAACCTCCAGGTCGCTGCCGTCTCATCAATTTTCCTGCCTCAAGCAGATGGCCGCGTCCGATATGTCCTCCAGTGGTGGAATGAGGAGCTTGGCTTTTTTTTTCTTTCTTTTCTCTCTTGAGATGACGATGCTCGCCTCTGGTTAAAATCAATTTGTTTCCGGTACGTTGAAAGTGAGCACGGAGTGCAGGTGGAAGGTTTGCGAGTTGCCGTTGCGGAAGCGCTGGACTGAAAAGGGGAGTTGCAGTGACAGCATACACATGCAAGAACACACAAGCTGACCATCTGGATTAGTCTTCCCCCTAGCGCTCCCTGCCATGAAATTTCCACATTCAGCTTCCATTTACAGCAATTGCTGCTTCGAAATGTTTCTGAAGGATGCACTTTTGTACATTTAGCAAGTTATTATCATTTATTCAAGGTGACATGTGGATTGCAAGCCTGCTTCGCAATTGAAGTTTCTGGATTTGAATCTGATTATATGAAATGGTCATGTAGAAACTAATCGACACAGAATCCTGTCATGGCAGGATTCACAGAAAAGTATGCCCCTTGGAGGACTCAATTAACAACTGACCTTTGACCCGACATAAATATGGTGGCAACGAGTTTTTATGCAATGTCACTGGTAGACAATATTATTGCATGTTTAGCACATCTAAAGAGCTGAGAATGGAGATGAGACGACGAGACAAGCCTCACAATTGGTCTCATCATCCAAATTATCAGAGTCGCTTTCAGCCTCTTTGTCCTCAGGTCCTAAGCAGAGGTCCAAGTGGACGCTTTGCATGAAGAGATGCTAATCCCCTCCGGGAGGCACAAAGGCAATCAAGAGAACAAGTAATAATTTAGTGTCACCACTTTGATTCTAGCCGCTCACCTCTGCTGTCGGGCACTTAAGCTTTGGTTTCAAGTGACAGCTTTTTGCGTTTGACTTGGACGCGTCACCGTCTGGGCTCGATGTCGGCAGCTTGTGTGCACCTTCTTCCTTTTTTATGAACACCCTATAGCTGTACCAATGCAAATGTATGAAATCTCCCACGGATGGGGGATTTTTGTCTGATTTTATAGTTTTCAACTGCAGCTCTTTTAATATACTGTGTAAAAAAATAAAATAAATAAAGACCATTCACATCAAATTATACCTTTTGGCTCTAGCCACTTTTAGGCAATGTATTTATTTATTTTATATCTGTACGCAGACAAAAATGGCTTTTGAACATTGGCCGTAAAATCCTACAAAGGCTCAGGGTAAAATTATACACAATTGACCTTAATGATTTAAAATAACACTTTTTGTCTCTCTCAAACGCTTTCTAGGGGCCACCAAGGACATGGGCAAGATGTTAGGCGGCGAGGAGGAGAAAGACCCTGATGCCCAGAAAAAGGAGGAGGAGAGGCAAGAAGCACTGAGGCAACAAGAGGAAGAACGGAAAGCCAAGTATGCCAGAATGGAGGCAGAGAGGGAAAACATCCGGCAGGGCATCAGGGACAAGGTATGAAATGCAACACCTGCATCACCCTCACATGTAAAAACCTAAAAAAAAAAAAGAAAAAAAAATCAACTAACATGTACAAAATGGTTGTTTATAATAATAATCATCATCATCACAATCATAATAAAAATAATAAGTTTTCTGCCTGGTCTTGTACATACAGTGGATATAAAAAGTTTACACACCCCTATTCAAATGCCACGTTCTTGTGATATACAAAAAAAAAGAAGAAATACATAAATTAAATGTTTTCCACCATTGTGACCAATAATCTCTAACTTTCAATTGATATTCTTTTTTTTGGGGGGGTGGGGGGGAATTAAAAATAAAGTACTAAAATAATGCATGTAGCAGGGTGGGCGACTGGTTAGCACGTCTGCCTCACAGTGCAGAGGTCGTGGGTTTGATCCCGGCTCCGACTTTCCTGTGTGGAGTTTAAATGTTCTCCCCGTGCCTGCGTGGGTCTTCTCCGGGTACTCCAGTTTCCTCCCACATTCCAAAAAAATGCATTGTAGGTTGATTGTACATTCAAAATTGTCCTTAGGTGTGATTGTGAGCGCAAAAGGTTGTTCGTCTACTCTGTGTGCCCTACGATTGGCTGGCAACCAGTTAAGGGTGTACCCAGGCTCCTGCCCAAAGTCAGCTGGGAAAGGCTCCAGGATACCCGCGACCATCGTGAGGATAAAGCAGTTCAGATAATGGATGGATAGATGGATGGATGGATGTGAGTACGTTCCAAACAGTGAACAGCGGTCACGACTTCCTCCTTTCCTTCGCGTGTGGAGGACGACACGGCCAGTTCGACAATTGTTATAGTTTATACACTTGTTGCGCTGACGGCTCAAATAAACAACGGCGTAACTCTGTTCTGGAAAGTGTCATCTGGCAAAATAGTCCCTGTTTTTTTGTTGTTTTTTTTTCATAAATGTAGCTGTAATCTGATTACACTTTTTTCTGTAACTGTAATGGAATACAGTTCCTCTTTTTTTTTTTGTATTCTGAATATGTCACACTGGTCCATCTATTCCGTTACTCCCTAAGGCTGGTTAGATCGTGACAGAAAACATCACTTCTGTGTGAAAGCTTTCTGACAATAAGACAATACTGATGTGATTGAACCACTTATAATGGAAGTCTTCTGATCCTCAAAAAACACTGCCAGCCTTTGAGGTAGTATCAGAGGCAGAACACTGGCTGTGATTAAAAAGCATGAGGTCAACACCCACGTCCGACACACTGAAGGCATGAGCTACTGCGATCGCTGTCCGGATGCTCACTGGTTCCCACTTGAGCAAATAAAATAAATGCCAAATGTACCTCGTAGCCTAAGACCAATTTGCCATGAAGGTGGTGTGAAAAGTGACAAATATGAGGAATACACAGACGTTGATCAGCAATCTCAACATGGCCAATACTAGACTTTGGAGCATACTTTTTGTCACTCTGCGGCGTCGCAGTCATTCCCCTTGTTGAGTTTTGTAAGAGGCAAGAGAAAGCGACAGCCCCATACGACGTCGGGGGCTCGAGTGAGCGTAGCCATCGTCTCTTCAGGCCTTTTGTTGCTTGTCGTATATGTCTGAAAGGCTGCCGAGCGAGACAGATGGCGGGCGGCAAAGAGCGCAAACATGGCGGCAGTCGGGAGACGAGCTGATATCCGTCAAGAGAATCCTCAAAGTCGCCTCTGCTTGTTAAGAGACTTTTTGGGGGGAGAAAAGTTTGCCATCAGGAATGACTTTATGGATGAGATGTAAAATGTATAAACTGTGCGTGTGGGTTTTCTTTCTTTTGGGTATTTTCATCGACGGGCTCATTTAGACAGGGCATTTCCGCGAGTGAACAGAGCCGACTTGTTTCCAGACCAATAAAAGCAGCTCCACTCCTACTTTTAAATTCAGCGCAGGAGAGGCGCCGTGCTGGAGTCCAAGCAGAAGATCGAAGAGTGGAAAGTATCTTTATAAGCAAGTGCAAGCAGACCTCCACTTGCGGATGTTGTGAAATTAGCCAGGAGCCCTCATGAAAATGAAGATGCGCTTATTCTTATGGCAAGCACACATGCGCCTATCGATGACAAAAGAGCCCACAGGCTTCTCTCAACAATTGAATGCCTCGTCAGATATCAGTGTCAGAAGGGAGATTCGCTGCTAGCGTGCTACAAAAGCACTAACAGGAAACGTTCCAGAAGTTCAAAAAGGCAAGTCACTGTTTCTTTCTTGCCAGAGTGCTCTATTCATATAGACACGTAGAACTCTGACTTGGTGGCAGGAGTGGCATTCACCGTACATACTCCCCAAAAGAAATATACAGAAAAACAATTGCATAAGCAGTCTAATGGGAGATTTTTTTTACATGGAAAAAAAAAAAAAAAAAACGATGGAATGTCAATCAGTGAGGCAGCGGTGTCAGAAGTGGAATTCACCATTTGCGTGCCCTTAAGACATTTGCCTCCAATAGAGAAGGTGAAATAAGTCAAATCTGTGTCGTTGTTCAGTAATGGTTGGAAAACCTCATCAGAGAAGACCGCTAAAAAAACGCTAACAAGGTCCTAGCGGTTTTGACATATCATAAACTATAACAATCAGGGAAGATATGTCATAAAATAAAAATAACTAGGGATTTTGTGAGTCCACCATCCTATTAGTGTTGTAATTTAAATTCCATGTACCCAGGGGGGAAAAAAAAAGCATATTTATGTACCGTATTGCTGTGAAATAGCGCAGCGTTGCCTTGGGGGACTCCAATGAATCGCGAGCAAATGGCGGCGAAGAAAGGCTGACGAGCTGTTTTCGTCTGCAATGATTTTAGTTTAAGCGATCCCCGGACGACCTCGCTATCTGTCTGTAAAAACACACACCAAATGCGCCGACGCTCATCTACGCAACAGAGCACCGCGCCGGTGGTCTTCCTCAAGGATATTTATTGGCCCTGGAATCCCATTACGGAGAAGCGGCAATGAGGTCACAAAGGAGTTCATCCTGTTTTCTGCATCTCTGCCTTGAGATCAACTGTCGTGCCGCCCCTTGCCCAAGTGGTCCTCTGCGGCGTGCTCCGCAGTGGCAAAAAAAATAAATTAATTAAAAAACAAGTGAAAATAAAGTTTTTGTGCCACGCTAAGAGGAACAACGTGGATAACACGGAGAACCGTTTGAGACATACGAGAGGATGACCGTTAGGTTAACTTGGCTTGGGCCATTCACCAATTTTTATCCATCAAGGTCACTATTGGGTTTTTTTTTTTTGTGGCTTCTCTAGTTTCAAGCCAATCTCAACTGAGGTGAACGGCAGAGTAAAGAGTAGAGAAGAGCGAACCATTTGATTCCTATTATTTACTTATTTCCACATTATCTGGAAATATATATATACAAGCAGTTTGGACACAGTTTCTCATTCAATAGCATGACAGAGGGTGTCCAAACTATTTATTGCTAGTTTTAAATGTTAAATGTTAAAACTTTAAAAAAAAATGTTATCTACACATTTTTAATTTATTATTTTAATTTCCCTTTCTGTGAAAGTCAGTATCAAATTCATGCCGAAAAAATCTGCTTCACAGCTTATTTATTAGCATGCGAGGATGAATAGAAGCATCTCAAAGACATGTCGCTCAGTGAGATACAGTCTCTAAAGTTAATAATTTCGAGATATCACCATCTTTAATAGCATCATATTGAGAATGTGTGGCAATCCACACAAATTTTGGTGGACATGTCAATCATAAAAGGTATGAAATGGTCTCACGAGCCCATGCCCAAAATTGAACAGGTGATAGAGAAATCTATGAACAAAATTGTATCATGTTTAAAGTTTCGGTTAATTTGGGCATGTCTGGACATACTCTGCGCAGAGGTGTCGGCCGTTTGGGCGGAGGGCCTTTTCTTGAGTAATCACGTCAAAGCAAGGGGGGCAAACAGATGGAAGAAGGCTAGATTCAATCACAGAGTGGGAATAAACAAATTGGAAACAAAGAGTTGTTGAGTACCAAAAGACAGTTTGGGAACAGCTGTCGCGCCCAGGTGGACATTTGTCATCAGCAAAGTCTGTGACTTGTGTATTCGGGTAGATCAGATCACTACCGAGGGGCCGGACCGGGGTCGCGGTATGCAAATCTCGGGGGCAGTGTCTTTCTTGTATTTTGCAATAAAAGTTCGAACCGGCGGAGAGGGAGCTCAAGAGTGTGATCATCGGAGCAACTAAACCGTCGTTCACTCTCAGAGATCCCCTCCCGCCGATATTGAAGACAATTTTCCCTGTGTGCCGAGTCATTTCTTTAACTTTGTCCGAGAAAATCTCTGACAACAGGATGTCAGCCGTTTTGGTTTGAAGTGGCCATTTTCAAGTCAATTTGGCCATTCACATGAATTGCAAAATTCGCAGTTTTATTGATCAATCCGAAAGTGAATGGGGGGATTGGTGAAGCAAAGGTCACAGAACAGACAGGCGGGTGCAAGAGGCACCACAATTATTCTGAGTGGTTTACTGACCTATTGCAGAGTTCTATCCTTTCATGTGGCTTTTTTTTTAATTGTACTAATTGTGAAAAAATAAATCTCTGGTTTACACCAGCCTCTGCTACATTCCTCCTTTATTGAGAACTCTCAGTGGGGATAAGTTCAAGTGACATCCAGTTTTGGGGCTCTCGGTTACGTTTTATAAGACCTTTATAGATATACCAACCTATTAAGGTTTCATCAAAGACCATAGCAACTGCATAGCAACTGATACATCAAGGAACAACCCGCTACATCAGATCTCTTACGAAGGAAGTGATCCAAACAAGACCCGATCTGAAGCTGATAACCGAGGCAGATGGGTCATGCTCAATTTCCCAGCTTTGTTGCCTACGCCATCTAATGTGGGCATAAAAGTTGAATCACCTCAAAGATTCACCATGAAAAATTGTTTACGAGGGGCCCATTCTCTGCTGCTTGCTGCTTTTAATTAGATTTTTTTTTTCTGTGCAGTACGGCATCAAGAAGAAAGAAGAGAAGGAGGCGGAGGCAGCGGCCGCCATGGAGCAGGCCTCAGAGGGCAGCCTAACGCGCCCCAAGAAGGCGGTGCCCACCGGCTGTGGCGAAGAGGAGGAGGAGGAGAGCATCGTGGACACGGTGATGAAGTTCATCCCAGCACCGCTCATGGATATGTTCAACAAGAAGTAACGTCGCCTCGCTTACGACCACCTCCTCCACCCTTCCTCCCTCCTCACACCCTGCTCTTCTTCCACTGCTGTGACATGGCGTAATGTTGGTCACAAAATGGCTAGTTATATGTACTGTCTGCCACTTATTAATTTGTAAAAATAGACATCATTATCACCCCCATTATGCCCACTTTAATTTGTAAATAGTCTGGTGATACATGACAAATAATTCTATATATATAAAATATGTATATGACATATAACCAGATGGATAGATGAGTACAAGCCATATTTTTAACTTTGAAGAATATATCCAAATCATTTTTTGGTTCTTTTATGTTAAGATTTGATACATGGGGGGGGTGGGGGGGATCCTCTCTGTGACGTATCAATGAAGTTATTGATTGTTTTCATTTTGTTTTTGTTTGTTTTTTTAATCCTTGGCATGCAGTGAGATGTTGTGACGTGATGTCGCCACTGAGCGAAATATTTGAGGCAATAACCACTTTTTTTCCTTTTTTAATCCATCCATTTGACTCTGTGTCAAATGTTCTTCCACATCCGGGGGAGCGGGGCTTTAAGAAAATCCTCAAAATGACGCAAAGTTTGTCTCCAACCGGTAAATGACTGTCATCGTCCTGTGGCTCCCGAGTTTTTTTGCAAACACATGATTGTAAAAATAAATGTGCAAATATAGAAGACGCTTCAAGAACAGCAGACGGTTGCAACCGCCGAAAATATCATTCCTCACGCACTCGTCCCATGTCTATTTTTACAATGTGGCGGAATCGGCAAAGACAGACAATCTTCGATGTTGCATGTTTGGCCGAAGATGCAGGCTCCTCCATTTTTGTCATATAAAAAGTTAGAATTACACATTGAGTGGGGATATAATTTTCGGAAAATAGAAAAATACTGTCTTGGCCCGAATATAAGACGGTGTTTTTTGCATTGAAATAAGACTGAAAAAGTGGGGTTCGTTTTATATTCGGGGTCTAGACATTATATCCATTCATGACGCTAGATGGCGCCAGATATTATTGAAGCGAATGCTGAACTTGACTCTCCAGGCCAAAGTGAACCCCTGTCACGAAGAATAAAAATAAAAATAGCGGTAGCACGAAGAAAAAAAATAAAAAATAGCGGTAAGAAAGAAAAGAGAAGAAAATAATAGAAGAGATAACAGAAAATGGAGAAACATAGCGACAATCTGGAGAAAAGTGGGTCGAAGATCGGCCAGGTTAACCGGCAGCTGAGGAGAAGTTATGATATAATTTACATTTCAAAAACCAGAAGCCATTCATTTATGAATGTGATTGCACTTTAGTTTACATATTTAAATGTTCAGATATTAAGATTTGAATAAGGCAAAATAGCACGCTTTTTCTCTCAACTATATTGTTATAATCATTTGTTTCAGATGTACTGTAATTATTTTCTGAATAAAAATTAATTTGGTGTTCAAAAAGTCTTTTTTCAAACTTGAGTCTTGAAAAAGAGGGGGTCGCCTTATAATCAGGGCCGTCTTATATTCGGGCCAATACGGTAGTGTGCAGTCATCAGATGCCTTGTACTCTGGCAATGATAGTTCTCTTTTGCGTGTTTCCATGACTGTGGTTTTGCTTGAAGACGCAGGACTTTGTTTTTCATAGTATAGAAATTTAACAACATAGATTCATGAGGTGTGTACAGCCTGCCTAGCATTTTCATCGTAATGTTATCAATCTGTGGAAACTGTAAAAATGGTGCATCAAGTTGGATGGTTGTGTTTTTGTGAAAAATATTCAAAGTTAGCCTCATTGTTCAACATAAACCCCCCACTTAAGATTGTGGCATTAAAAATTGATGCACAAAGTCATATTTCAGTGTTAATCAAAGTTACTGTCACTTGAACGTGCAAAATTAACATATACAAATCTAATGTCACAAATTCCTGGGTTTTTTAAAGCAAGTTTAGTTTTTGCATCATAACATCCACAAATGTATAAATGGCGCTAACAGTAGTTGGAAAGGAATGATGACTGCTATTGCGCGTTTCAATGTTAGCATGTCATTTGAAGATACCCAGCCGTCAATTTTTGTGTCACCTTGTGTAAAAATCTAACATAAATTGTTTAAATCTGATATGTTTGTATCACAACATTATTGTTCAAATGTAGATCAGATTGTTGATCGGGAAAAATGCTGCATAAGTTGGTAGTTTGCTAGATGCTGAGATGTTTTTTTTTTTTTGTTATCTGTGACTTTTCGAAACATTCCAGCTATTTCAGACAGTAGTGCTAAGACTGCCTCATTTTTAACCACATACAAAAAAAAAGAGAGACTGGCACATAAAGTTGGAGTGTTGTCTGGGGTTTTGTTTTTTCATTTTTTTCATCTCCACCACTGCCAGAGTCTTTCAAAAACATTCCAGCTCTTTCAGACATTCCGCGAACTTATCCTCGTTGTTAGCCAAAATCGACTCAACCATTACCCACAAAAAGCAGGCATTTCCACAATTTGACTGTGACCTTGTGCCATTATTTTTGCATTGAATCTGAGCAACAATTTGGCTGGTGTGTGACAAATCGTAGAAATTAGAACATCACTATATCAGATTCACGTACATACTGAATGTTGCATATTCTTGCTACTTTCAGTCAGCTAAAAACATAGAATCGTGTTGAATTTGAGCACCCAGTGAGTTCAGCGTGCTGGTAAACTGCCCCTGCAGCCTTCATTCAGAGCACTAGCAGCTAACCTGTGACCAGAGCCGCACATCCGCAAACAACGTTATCCAGTCAAACCAAAGAACGACGCTCATAGTAGTAGTAGATAGCAGTAGTAGACGTGATTTTTTTCCTGGATATCTCAGGTTTTATTGCTTGTAACTTTGCTAGCCTTCTTCTACTAGCCTCATTAGCCGAGTTCGCTAACATCTCCAAGGCCTTGAAATCCTGCACAGTCGTCGTTTACAGCCCCAATTGAATTCTATCAAGCTTCGAATCCTTCTCCCTGACCAATTTGTTCGATTTGCTGAACTGTCACACTTTCATTATATCGTCGTTTATTACTAATTTCATGCTTGCCATGGCAAACGGACCACTGCCACTCAAAATCCACTCATTAATCATCATAATAAGTAAGCCTGAAGAAACCACTTGATACTCAACCTACTCTTTGATGTAACTTGAATGTAAACGTCTGATGTTTGTACTCTGTTGTCTGTATTCTTGGATGCTTAAGTTAGCGTGCTAATCTTTTGTGTTGTCTGTAGCTGGTCCTGTTCCTGTCCTATTGGTAGCTGGTGATTGTTTTTCATTTTCATTTTTTTAATATATATATTTTTTTGAAGTGCATATTTTAAGTATTTTCTACTGCAAAGTTTTCTCACCCTCCTTCCACTTCTTCCTGGACATCTGCATGCTTTGTGGTGTGCGATGGTGTGACTATAAAGTGTTTTTGATGTGTCCTGTTGTGTGTTTTTAAACCCGCCTTCCCCATCACGCCACTGTGTTAGTCTCACTTGCATGCCCTCTAAAGACAGATATTTTAGTCTGGAAACCTTCGTGCAAAAAAAAAAAAAAAAAAAAAAAAAAAGACAAGAAAAATTTGAAATCACGACACACTCTGAGAATAAAGTGATTTCATACAACCTTCTTGTGTTGTCGTGCTGTCTTATTCGCGCACGGCTGTTTTTGGTAATGTGTGGTGAAGATCCTTGGTTCTTATCATGACCCATTGAAACTCATTCAGCTACACCGCCTGGTAAGGAAAAAAAATAATATCCTCACACAGGTCGCGGGCGTGCTGGAGCCTCTCCCAGCTGTCTTCGGGCAGCAGGCGGCGTACACCCTGAATTGGTTGTCAGCCAATCGCAGGGCACACATAGACGAACAACCATTCGCGCTCACACTCACACCTAGGGACAATTTAGAGTGTTCCATTGACTTGCGATGCATGTATTTTAAAATGTTAAAATGCATTGAAATTTGAATAAATGTATCAGGCGATAAGTTTTCACAGATCGAAACAAAATTTTGCAAACGTCTATTTTATACAATAGGAAGTCAGACATTTTAATTTGAAGCTATGAAAACATTTTGCCTATCTCACCTAGTATGTGGCTGTCCTGGTAAAAATGTTTGATTGTTTTATGGGAAAAAAAATAAAATTAGCCCCAAGCAACAGTTACATCGAGTAATCGAAAAATTGGTGGACATGTCTAACATGACAGAATGCACAAAAAAGTCTGTAGAACCCATGATTGAAATTGAACACAGTCAGAAATTTTGATTTGGAGTGGACGCGTTTGGCAAACTCCAAGGGCTTTGAACTACGAATAGAGAATTATTCCAAATGAGCCCAAATCAGAAGCAGGATTCATAGACAGAGAGGCAATGATGGCATGGTTTCACTTTCATTGAGAGGGGGAATAAAAACCTTTACACAATGAACAGATGGTTGTTAAAGTAAGTGCCAGAAAATAGTTAAATTAGATGACCAGCGTGTCAAGGGAAACTCTTGCCCAAATGCATTGAGAGATTTCAACGCACTCTAGGTTTATCGTCCCGGCCTTATACACTGGCGGCATTCGGACTTTGTTACGCCTCTGCTTCTTCTTCCAAAAACTGCACATTCACAGTTCGACTTGATCCCCACCCCATCCCGCTGTCCCTGCGTCAGTGCCTTACACACAAGCACGGCTAGCCAATTAGCCAGGGTAAAAGTTGCTACCATCAAGAGAAGCACATTGTTGTTGTCACTAGCATTCTTTTTAGCCTTCCTCGACCACAGATGTGATTTTTCTGACAGTTATTTTAGTGTCAATGAGTCCTAACGGATTCAACTGTCGAGCTTCTCGTCGTCCACTCCAGCTCGTCGAGCGCACTCGAGTCTGCCTGCAGGAAATGGAGGTTTATATCGACACAGTTCGCACACCGAGTCGAGGGAGCCTCGCGGTCACCCCCCGGGTATCTGTCACGCACTCTCCTCAACACTCGAGCTGCACTCGACATTCATTTGCCATTGATGCAGTGGAGCGCTTTACAATGTGTCATCCACATGACACACATGGCAAGCTTTTTTTCACCCAATTTTTGTCAGCATTTTTTTTATTTTTTTCCTACTGGATCTTCTGTGACAACTCTGCAGGAATTTCGCTGGGTTTCAGTACAGAAGGTGCCATATCCACACGGAAACAGAACCAGCTTTGTTCATAAAAAAAAAAAAAAAAAAAAAATCTCATAAACAATCAGTTCAAGAGCGCGTGTGCCCTGAAAGAGTGTTTGTGTTATGTTCTGCTCTGTCTTTGTTTTTGTTTTCAGTGCCAGCTGGAGTGGAGGGCGTGCCCTCTTCAGCAGTACACCTGGTTCTCGTTCGCCATCAAGCCTTGCCTAGTATTTAGGC